GCTGTAGCTCTCCTCAACCTCACTTAGCCCCACCCATCGTGTGGTATCGTGTGGTATTTCCAAGTCTTCCCTTTCACACATCTCTCTACCATCCAAAGCATTCTCTCGCGCAGCCCCACCACAACTGGCGTATATCTCAAGCAAGCCCTCTCAACCCCTTCCCCCCTCCTCACCCTCACCTCCATCCACACCCACCTCCCCCGGAATGACGCCCCCATGACGCCCACCCTTTGCTGGCATGCAAAAAAGAAAAAAGTAATGCCGCGACTGGGACTCGAACCCAGAATCTGCACTCCACACCGCTAGCATAAGGCTAGTACGGGGGCTCTGCAATGTTAATACCACTACACCACCGCGGCTGTTGTTGTACAGATGTGCTCGATAGTAAAACATAGCCCCACTTTTCCGATGGTCTCCGGCCGTTTCTGCGGGGTTGCCGCCCCGCTATGGGGCGTTTTTTGTCGTCGGTACATGAAGTGGATTAGGCGCTAGCGCTGGGATGAGTTTGATGGGATTTGAGGTTTGGGAGGGTGGGTTTCTGTTAGGGAATGTGGTTTGGGAATGGGGATAGTGGTGGGTTTGGTGGTGAGGATTTGCTGGTTGAGGGATAGCTATATGGCTACAAGTTGGGAGTGACGTCAATCACGGCTCGCATGGCTTAGATGGTAAAGCGCAGCACTAGTAATGCTGAGATCCTCGGTTCGAGTCCGAGTGTGAGCAGTTCTTTTTTGGTTTTTTTGGGGTCAGGGTGGGGTTTTGTTTTCATTCTTATTTGTTATGGGTTTGGGAGGGGAGTGCTATATGCATTCAAATCTGTTTACTGTGCTCAGTGGGTATAAGTCGATTCGACTTCTCGAGATTTTGGCTCTTCTCTCACAGCAAATGCATAGACCGAAGGGCAACTACCCGCAATCGAACACATTTACTCCACAATGCAAGCCACAAAGTCCTTACACTATACCATTTACCTAGTAGTTAATTAGCAAGATACAAACCCAGACTCACCCCCCTCCAAGAAAAAAAGCTAATGCCCCGCCATCGCCACCCCCAAAATCTCCTCCTCCATCCCCCCCACTACAACAACCCTCACCCCCGCCGCCTCCAACCGCCCCCTCCCGTTATTCTCCGGTATAAACGTCTCCGGCTCCGGAATCCCCACATACACCACCTTGATCGCACCCGCCAACCCCACAATCCGATCGCAGCAGGTCCGCCCCCCGCTCAGCCGCCGATTGCACGGCTCCATCGTCGTGTACAGCACCGTGTTGGGCGGGAGGACCTCCCCGAGGCGGTCCTCGGGGAGGCGGTGGCGCTCCGCGACCTTGATGAGGCAGCAGTGCTCGGCGTGCGTGTTGCCCGGGTCGCCGGGCCGGTCGCCGGGCAGTTCCATCGAGTACCCGGTCGCGAGGACGGTGTGCGTGTCGGCGTCGACGAGGACGGCGCCCACGCAGAATTTGGTGGGCGCCGGGGGCGAGAGGCGCGCTTGGGTCAGGGCCAGGGTCATGTAGTGTTCGTGGTGGGGGGCTGTGGTGGTTTCGGTGGGTTTGGTGGCCTCTGCGAGGGTAGAGGGTGGGGAGGGGGGCATTGTTGTTGGGTTGGGGTTGAGTCTTCGTGGTAGAGGGTAATATTACAAGAGGACCATTGAGAGTATGGGTTGAATGGATTGAGAGGAAAGTCGTAGGAGGGGGGTTATGAGGTGTATATCTTTGTACGCAGTTCATAGGAGCCTTCAATCTATAAAGTGGAGGTGGGGGCTGCTGGTAAGGCGCCCGTCGGTTCGGCCCGCTGCCTCAGGAGGTGGCGCTTCGAGGACCAGTCATACGACCTAGCCGGTAGAGCTTCACTTTTGATAGTTGATACGATGAAAATGAGTACCTAAAAATATACGCTCATCGTAAGCTGGTTGGCTTCATTTCGTGGACCCGGATATATTAATATTCACTGCTGTTGGCCCACGCTACCCCGGGAGAATTCACATTTTATTAGATGTTCACTCACCATTCATCTACTCCTTGGAACAAAGTTCTCTTGCAAAATCTGGAGACGATCACCGCATCTGTGCCAGTGTAATGTACATAGTTGTTCTGATTTCAATTGGCGATTCATCCCTTAATCCCCTGTCCCAATTGTCATCCCCACGCGGCAACGACAGAACCAGCCATTCCGGAAACTGCAGGCCTTACGGTAACGAGTTGTGGGTTGTACCTACTAAGTACCTTATGTGCTTATTATCAAATCACCATTGGACAGATCGGTGACCTGCCTCCCGTTGTGGCTGTAGATAACAAATATAGACCGTACTAAAGACACCTCGTTTAAAGTCCAAAGCCCCCTGGCTAAGGCTTTAAGTAGTATAATCGACCTGACAGGATTAAAACAGCACATCTCAATACCATGGTCTATCTTATATAAGTACACTAGGTTTGTTCAGATTTCTTTCAAGACCGAAGGTATTGCTATCCGGGAACAAGGTCTGAGGGGGGGCATCTCCCGCTTACTCCGGGATGACATCTCCTAGCTCTGAGAAAGATCGAAGGAGAGTGGTCTTGTTTTCGATGTAAGATCAAGGCAGTAGATGAGATCCCTAAAGTTATTCCTTTGTATTGCTGCTTTCTCCGGGGAGGCTTACCGGAGATATACGGGAGATAGAGTGCGTATATGCAAATATGAGATGTTGAAGACCGATACCTGATTCTATATCGTTACTTGTAAGTGTCAAAATGCTTTATCTTTCTTGATTGGTTTTACATTACTGTTACCTTCTTTTTGTTGTTTTGGATATGTTTGCAGACAGCTAACTGTCTTGCCGAACAAAGAGGCCTACATCCTCTTGGCATCGCAAAAGTTTAGTATGCCTGAGACAGCCATAAGTCAATAGAGGCCCATCAATAAAAGGCGAGAAAATCATTACACTTACGGCGGGCGTTCTCGGGCAGGGAGTACCTCCAGGCAGCGAAGAGCTGCAGCCCGGCCTCCTCCTTCATGTTGATGTCCAAGCTCTCCTGCACGAGCCGGGTGTCCGGGATCGGCGCGTCGACGCCGACCGCCCAGGGCCTCATCTCGCGGTAGAGACGCGCCCACCGGCCCCGGAAAATCACGCCGTGGAGGGTCACGTTTGGGGGATACAGGGCCCGCACGCGGCGGAACTCCAGGTTCAGCGCGTCGACCGGCGCCCCGTTCCAGTCGGGGTACGGGTACTGCAGCCAGTAGATGACCGGGCACACGGTGGCCGAACCGACATGCATCCAGTAGACCATGTATTCCGGGTGCCCGGGCCGCTGGAACCCCCAGGGTGCTGGTGCTAGCGGATCGTCGAAGACCGTCCCGTCTTCCCTGGTGATTTGGTCGATCCAGATCACCGAGCGGGCTTCCCTTGCTATGCCTTCATTTGGTGGCGGTGGCGGTGGCGGCGGTACATTTTGATCATCCGCCTCAGGCGGAGCACCGGCCTCTTGCCCGTTCTGCCCTTCCTGCCCGTCCTCTGCTGCGGTGTCTTGATCCATGATTGCCCTAAGCAGCACTGTATCCTCCGGGACTTGCTGAAGGTGCGCCCAATGCTCGCGCTCTTGATGCACTTGGGGCTGCTGACCTTGAGAAACTTGAGCAACTTGAGCAACTTGAGCAACTTGAGGAGCTTGAGGAGCCTGAGGAGCCTGAAAAGCCTGAGAGGCCTGCAGTAAAGCCTGCAGATCCTGCATAGCCTGATGCATTCGCTGAGCTAGCTGAGGTTGAGGGACTTGAGGAGCCTGTGAACTCGAAGCCTGTGAAGCCGGAGCCTGTGAAGCCGGAGCCTGTGAAGCCGGAGCCTGCAGAGCAGGGGGTGCCTGAGAAGGCTGAGGATCGTGTTGGTCCCGCCGGTTCTGCGAGTTGCGCGTAGTGCGCTTCCCACGCATGTTCCAGTGTAAGTTCGACATTGCTGTCAATTAGTTCAGTCCTTCTTACAGGCTGGTTGCTGTTCAAGTGAAAGGCAGTGTATGGTGTGGCATCTATGTGAGGTTTGATGCATGACCGAATCCACCGCGAACCAGATAGTATTTATAGGCACCTCTTACTGGCGAATATTTCTACTTGGTTGTTTGGTCATCAAAACAAACGTCGTTAGAGAGGGGGAATATGCCGATATGTCTTTGTTTAGCGAGGAAATTCATTCTTTTATCCTGGTATAAGTGCATGTAAAAGACTGACTGTTAAGTCATCTCTTATCCGAAGACGCGGGCTGACGGACAATCACCCATAACCAGACATATCCATACCGCCATACCACCAATTCTTATCTGTTTCTGTAGTTATCTATACAGAAATAATATCACTCTAGAAAAACATGTGCTGTTCTTAAAAAAAAAAGGCAGGTCTTGATAATATCTATGGTATATCTTGGTTGTCTGGCCTACACTAGTTTACTACTTATAGCAAGCAGGTAGCTTGAAGACCTCTCTTGTGATAGAGTAGATGATAGGTATAGGATATCAGAATGAAGTTTTCTAAGCTTGTGTAAAAGTGATTTCTTCTTTTGGCTCCAAGGAACGAGTGCTTCTATTACTAATTGGAAGTTGACAATAGAATGACATGTGTGACCGGACTGTAACCCTATCGAATCAGCGTCAATATAAGAGCAGATGGTGGCCCCGCCGGCGGATATAGTATATGACATATACAACATTAGAGGTTAGGTATAGATAATATCTGCGGTTCCTGTATCTAAACTATCAATATCTTCTTACTGAAGGAGTTATATCATAAACATAGAAAATCGAACTGTTTAATACACAGATCTAAAATGTTGTGAGCTAAAATCAGGTTTTATATTGTTACTGGTGAATTATACTGTGCTTAAAAGTTTCTTTCTAGTTGATTTTTATTATTGTTTACTTTTCTTTTCCTTTTTTTTTAAAGATTTTTAATCATAACAGCTAACTAACTAGCTATCCCACCGAACAAAAAACCTACCATATACTGTGGCATCGCAAGGAGACCGTGCCGCGCCAGTAGAACCTACAAGCTCACCGATTGCTCGGCGGATTAGTGGGGATGGCACGCTTCCAATCAAGGATCAGGCGGGTATGGGCGGGATCCATCAAGTCCAGGTCCCTACTCTCGGCCACCACCCGGGTATCGCGGATCGGGGCTTCGACGCCGGCGGCCCAGGGCCGCGCCTCGCGGAAGAGACGTATTGTGGGCGACTGCGTGATGCTGCCATGCAGCGTCACTGCGTCGGGGAACCGTTGCCGCACCAACTGGAACTCCAGATTCAGTGCATCCACCGGCGCCCCGTGCCAGTCGACGGGGCCTGGGGCCAGCCAGCGGATGGCCGTCCAGGCCGTGGTCGCGTTGAGCAGAATGTAGCGGATGTGGTAGTCTGGGTGTCCGACCCGCTGGAACGGACCTCGTACTTGTGCACCACCTTGGGCGTCGACTCCACCGTTCATCGCGCTTGCCCCGCCTACGGCGACAAGCCCGGGAGGCCTGGGGTTTGCCCGGTTTGCCGGGACAACCCCGTTCACTTGGGGGTTTGGCCTAGCTACGCCATTTCCATGGACAATCCCGTTCACTTGGGGGTTGGCCCTAGCTACTGGATTTACGCCGTGTCTATGGACAACCCCGTTCACTTGGGGGGTTGCCCTGGCTACTGCACTCACCCTGTTAACATGGTTCACTCCGGTTACTGGGGCTGCCCCGTTTACCCCGTTCACAAGTGCTACGTTCGGCGTGTTCGGCGGAGCCGGCAGGTTTGGTGTATTTGGCGGAAGCGCAGCACTCGCCGCATTGCCTGCGTGCGGCGCAATTGGCCCGCCTTGGGCCTGCTGAGTTCCCTGAGCCTCCTGCCCATTTGGGTCGGCCTCCTCGTCCTCGTCCTCGTCCTCGTCCCCTGCCGCGGCTTGCACCAGCTGAGCCTGCTGCGCTTGCAGAGGCTGCTGAGCCGGAGGAGCCTGCGGGGGCTGCTGCGGCAATGGTGCCTGTGAAGGCTGTTGCGGCAGAGGGGCCTGTGGAGGCTGCTGTGCCTGCGGAGGTTGCTGTGCCTGCAGGGGCTGTTGTGCCTGTGGAGGTTGCTGTGCCTGTGGAGGTTGCTGTGCCTGTGGAGGTTGCTGTGCCTGCGGAGGTTGCTGTGCCTGCGGGGGCTGTTGTGCCTGTGGAGGTTGCTGTGCCTGCGGAGGCTGCTGTGCCTGCGGAGGCTGCTGTGCGTGCGGAGGCTGCTGTGCGTGCGGAGGCTGCTGTGCCTGTGAAGGCTGCTGAGCCCGCTGACCCCGGTGACCCCGCGAGTTGCACGAAGTACGCTGACCGGGCTGGTTCCAATAAGTATCCGACATGGTGTTCAATTGATACAGTTCTTGAAATCAGTTGTTGTTGGATAGAAGGCAAGTGTATGCTTAGAAGTGTACCCGTGTGGTATGATACATAGGGTAATCCCATAGCGAACCATGGAGTACTTATATACCATCGCTGGGCGAATGTGCGTCTTTTATAGTTGGTGACGATACTTGGTGGAGATATTAGTTCCCGGAATGTCGCGCGGAATATATCGAGGCTCTTTGTTGAGATTGAAGATTCATTGTCCTATAATCGAAGGGAGTGGATCTTGGTCAGTGGAGGTCAGTAATAACGAGAAGGTGTTTTCTTGTCGGGGGGGTTGGGGTTGTCGGGAACCGGCAAGGTGACTTTGGTGTCCAAGGAGAGGAGTTACCAGGAAACCCGGTTCGCCATGAAGGGAGCTTTCCAGAATTCATGGTGATGGAGCTTTTGGTTAAATCGAGTTGATTGTTTCTATGATGATATGTGATCAGCTGCCTCGATGGCAATGGGCGATAGCCGTTGAGGGTAGCTTCTCGTCTGCAGGTCGAACATCTCCGTAGTACTAAATGAGACATTAGGAACACAAAAAGAAGATCGAGGGGATGGGATAGATAGGGCTAAAGTGCCAGGTGGATGGTAGTCTGGCAATGGATCCGAGTAGATGCTGTGGGAAGCAAAAAAGGAACGACCGAGACGCGACTCGAACGCGCAACCACTGCCACATCCCTAACCGGAAGGCAGCGCGCTACCATTGCGCCACCCGGCCATTTCTATGTTTAATGCCCGCTTGCTGCTCTTCTCGTATGCCGGCTGCCAATGACGCCGATATGACAATCTAAAGCTCATTTGCAACATTACACTCTCTCTGAGCATAGTAGCAGGTAGCTTGGCCCATTCCATTCCAGCCTCAAACTATATCACTTTCATGAAAGGAATATTATCCCCCAATGCTTCTGTTCGACATGTCGCTTTCGAGACAAGGATTCGAGGCCCACCCACCCAGTTCATTGGAGGCAACCAGTGACAGGTTCACAATGTGGTTCGAGTCAATCTTGAGACTATGTTGCATGAAAGACAAGATAAGTATCGAGATAAACCCTCAGTCCTTGACAGAAGAACTTAGATTGAGAAAGTGGGTGGCCACTACTTTCTTGGTTTCGTTAATGCAGGGATGGAGCAAAGTTCAACTTCGACATCATTCCACAACTCTGCTCCAACATAGATGGGCAATCATGTCTGCAATACCTCTTACATACTTACATATTGCCTGAATAGGCCTGTCCTCTGTTTCCCCGCATTTTGTGAGTAGTCTGCACGGATTTGGTGGAATGTCAAGCTCTCCCCCCTTTCATTTACCCATTTAGCCAGAATGCTTAGTTTGGTGTCTCCGATGTATAAATATGTTACGGGCGCGGAGTGTAAGAACATCACAGTATCCCCCAAGAATAAAGAAGGATCGCCATGCAGATTATTGGCTATACGGCAGCAGCCGCACTCGTTTCTGGCCTTGCAGCCGCTCAGTCTTCACACTGGGTCGATATCTGGACTGCCATGCCGCAATTGACCGAGCCGGCCAATCTTCCTCCGCAGCCATTTGTAAGTGCATCCGTTACCGTTGCAGTTGCGCTTCATGCAGCTCATCCCCCCCAAAGAATTCCAGTTCCGCCATCTTCCTCAACACGACAATTCGACAGACCCTTCGACTCACTCATCCTGCCTCGACGATTCGTCTTCGTCTCTCGAACGCTTTTGGTGTGGACGATCTTGACGTCGCCAATGTGTCTCTTGCCCTTCCTTTGCAGAATGAGCTTGGTGCAAGCGTCATCGTTCCAGACACGGTCCAACCTATCTTGTTTGATGGCTTTGATAGCATTATCATTCCTCTTGGAAGCTTAGCTGTATCTGACCCGATCCAACTACCTTCCACCCAGCTGAACACGACAATCACGGTCGATATCTATCTGGCCGATGGTCAATCAGGCGGAGCCATCACCTCCCACCCGGGTAGTCGCACGACTTCGTGGATGCAGTTTGGGAACTCAATCGGGATAACTGACTTCACAGACCCTTCCGTGGCCAGCGTGGAGCATTGGTACTTGACTCTTTTCTGTTGAAATCTCCCACTAACGATAAGCAGGTACTTCATAAGCACCGTTGAGGCCTACCTACCGAACACCGTCAAAGCCTGCGCCCTGCTGGGCGACAGCATCACCGACGGGAGAGGCAGTGACAACAACAAGAACAACCGGTAAATCTCTTCCCCCCCATCCATGACCACACCCACACCCACAACCACAAAAATCAAGCCCATCGCCAAAACTAACCAATCCCAGATGGCCCGACCTCCTCCTCACCCGCATGCAGTCCACAGACTCCAATGCAGCCCTCTCCCAAATCCCCCTCCTCAACCAAGCCGCCGGCGGCAACCGCATCCTCCATGACAGCCTCGGCCCCTCCCTCCTCTCGCGCATCGACCGCGACGTGCTCGCCCACACCCAAGTTCACTGGGCCATCCTCTTCGAGGGTGTCAACGACATCGGCACAGCGGACACCTCGCCTACCAACCAAACCGTCACCGGTGACCGGCTCATCCGCGCCTATCGCCAGATCGTCACCCGGCTCCACGCGGGCGGGATCCCGGTCTTCGGGGCGACGATCACGCCGTTCGGGACCCCGGCGAATGCCTCGGTGGTGCAGCCGTATTCCGACCCGGAACGGGAGTGGACGCGACAGCGGGTGAACGCGTTCATCCGGGAGAGTGGGTTATTTGACGCGGTGCTGGATTTCGATGCCGTGCTCAGGGATCCGGAGGATCCGGCGGTGCTGCGGGCGGAGTTTGATTCCGGGGATCACTTGCATCCGAATGTTAAGGGGTATGAGGCTCTGGCGGGGTCGGTGGATTTGGGAATTTTCTCTCGCTGAATGGGTCGACCTGTGGTGTGGGTTGGTTGGGGTGTTGAATGAGTGGATGGCATGCTCCGAGAGTTAGGGCTGCCTTTGCAATCCTTTTGTGCTCGGCACCAAGAGCAGTATGCTTTTCCCGGCAGAAAGTTGGCATTCAATTATTCTCATTGTTTCATGAAAGAAGGGCCTGTCCCCCTCACACCTTAACTTCAACTTCCCATCCCTTGACACAATTGATAGACGGAAGACTTCCTGCAAGTTGGATTGCCCAACCTTGCGTATGCTAAACGTTTACTACAACTGAAACATTATTTCGAGGATAATAAACCCTTCAACGAGAATTTATTTAAGAATCAGAGTCAATGAATGTCTAAAGGAGTAAGCCACCCCCACCACAGCAAGCCCCAACAAATCCAGCACAATGCCATCCACACCAATCCCCCGACAAGCCACAAACCTCATAAAGAAGCCCAAGCCTCCCAGCCAGGGCCTCCCCTCCCCTTTCAAGGTTACAAACCTCCCCACCCGCAATCTCCCTGCCTTCAGTGAAAAAGCATTATCGCCCGGGTCATTCTCCAACCTCCCTACCCGACAGAAAAACAACAGCCACCGCAATCCAACTCAGCACGCTAGCCTGAACCCCCCCAGGGGACAGAATGATCCTCCTAAGCTCCAGTCCCAGAGAGAACCAAACAGCAAAGTGCCTGTGCCCCTGCTCGTACCGTTGCAAACACTACGCTGCGATGCCACCACCCTAGCAGCGATTCTCAACGATGTGGGTCGTCCGCGACTGATCTTTGTGGTCGTGAATGGGCCAGATACGCTGGAGGGAGTGCAGCAGGGGACGGTGGACCCCGCTTATCGGGATAAGGGTAGGGCGATGATGGTGGATTGGGGTTACCCGAGAGCCCACTGGACTGCTGGGGAGAGGTTGTTTGATCCTGGGGTCTATGGGGTGATTGAGCGGGCGGTTGAGTATGCGATTGGTGGCGGTGAGGGGGGCCACTCGGGACAAGGGCATAGTAGTGGAAGAGGGCTTGAGATTCGGCCTGTGAGGATGAGGGGACTGAAGTCTGGGTGATGGTCTGTCTCTACGAGGATGCGTAGAGGACATCACTCCCCCGAGGGAATACTTACAATATCCCGGCTATCGCTTTTCCAGTGGTTGTAGCTTTTGACGGGGCTTGTTATTGAAGGGATGGTTATTCGATGTTCTGGAGACAAGCTGTGATGGACAAAAAGCTAGCCTGCCACCAGAGCTTGTAGTTGTTCTGGTGGGTGGGGGCTTAGGAGACTTTTTTTGATGCGAATTGGAACTTTGACTTTAACCTAGAAGTGGGCGTGGTATCAAACGTAGAGGAGAGACTGTGCTTAGCTCTTTGTTGTCGTAGTTACAGCTGTTTGTCAGACATTTCTCATGGTACATGTATCATATCACACTTTCATTTTGCCCAGATGATTTGCAAGACTGCATCGAGTACATGATCTGATTCTTCGATTCACCATCGATATGCAAAGAATGTGCCCTCTAGTAATCCCAGCGGTTGTCTGGTTTCAAATCTGGTTCTTTGTCTACTAGAAGGTAGTGGCAATGATCGCAACAAGCGTGGGCGACGACTTCGGCCCTGTACACGCAGGAAGAGCGATAAATGCAATTTGATTGGGTCAATGAGAAGTATAAGCCGTCTATACACCTGATATGTCTTTATCGCACTGGCTGAGACAACGCATCTATTGCGAGGGACAATGGGCATTGTCTCTCTTTTGCAATAGATAAGCTCAATTGGCGACAAGCTCAGACGTGATTGATTCACCCTGTAGGGGTGAGGGGCAGGCTCTTATGTCCATTGGCTCATAGTTCATCTATCATGCATAACGAGAGGACATATCTGGGGGTACTTAAGCAGCTTTTACCACGACCATGAGCCCTTCTTTCCTGGCTAAACTCGCAACAATACCCGGTCACAGAGTTGACATAAGGCTCTACCCTACACGCTGCCCCGACAATGTCTCCACCGACTTTCTTCCCCCGCTTCTCCAACCTCCCGTTTGAGCTCCGCGAGCCGATCTGGCTATTTTCTCTGGACGAGCTTGCCATGGGTTGGAAACCCAAGGAAACCTCGGGTGCTCGCCGGCGAGGGCATTCTCTATCCTCTGAAACAACGTAACTGGCAGCCCCGGGTCGCCACGGGGCCGATGTCCGACCCCGAGGAAGACAGCGAAGAAGAGGTCAAGAAGCGCCAGCTACCGCTGTACTAGTACCGGCAGCGGATCTCCCACTTGGGGGTCAATCGGGAGGTGCGTGCGGCGGCGAGCAAATGGGTGGAAAAGCAAAAGACGCAGTGGGTGGCGGTGCATCAGAGCTGTGAGGACCCGCAGCGGTGCGCGACTTGGTTCGACTGGAATCGGAAGGTGCTTTCGCAGCCGCGCCTCTTGTTCCGCGAGTCCCCTTCAGCAGACGAGTTCTTCCTGTCCCAGGCGGAGTATGAGCGCTGTTGCGACGTGCTGGGCCGTAGTAGTAGTACCAGCCCTGAAGAAGGGCAGCACAGGCCGGGGGTCGGTTGGAAGGTTGGCCAATTGTGGTTGCGTGAACCAATCTGCAAGTACCAAAACCGCCGTGCGCACTCGGTGAAGCTGGCCGTGCCACTGGCACTGCTGCGGCGGAACCCGGATGCCCTGCGTAACATAATTCTGTGGGCCAGCAATGAGGAGGTCCGGGGCTTTACCCGCTATTTCATCATGTTCAAGGTGACCGTGAATGAGCTGCCGCACCATGGGGAATGCATGACGGTGCAGGAGGGGTGGAAGCTGGTTTTGAAGTGGCCGATCTGGACCCGTGTAACTGAGGATGAGGATCAGTCGCTGCGATGGAAGGATCTGTGTGGTCATTCTAGGAGACCAGGGGAGCTGATCGGTGCTGAGGCTTGGAGCGTGATTGAGCACGCGATGTCCCGGCTGGACCCCGGGCAGGATTACCGGATAGTTTTGATTAGACCTATGCGTGCTGTGCGGCATGGCGAATCTGTCGAACTGCCTACGCGCGCTGTATAGGATGTCGAATATGGTGACAAGGCTGTCGGTACAGATTGAGTAATTGATTAGGGCCTAAATCTATCATCTTTCCATCGCTCTGAGGGTGTGTAGCTCTGAATTAACTACTTTTCTTTCTGCTTTGGCTGGATACTGAGATATAGTCCTGGCTGCTTTTTTATGATCCCTTACCCTTGTGTAAAACTCTGACTCATAACTCAATGCCTTAAGTAAGGCTCTTGTAATCTGTATACAGTTCTGACAAGCCTTTTGGAAGAATCAGTGTGAACTGCTCCTTATAATTTATGACCTTTGACAAATACTACCTCAGGTTCCTAACATCCATTCTAGATTAGATGTACACCACCAAACAATGTGATATAAATTTTGAAATATTCTAATATAGATCTTGGTCGCCTTGATAATCGTAATATAGATGCTTATGTAGAAACTAACTGTTGACTAAGCACTTGGTAACTGCTTCGCTTGTAAAACTTAAGTTGGCTTAAAAACACCTCTGCAATGAAGACTAAGTTAGGGTTAGAGCAAGTCACCTAAAATCTGCAAGGCAGTGGGTAGTTTTAGTAGCAGCTCACCGAATGAAATATCAAGGACGGTCGAGATGCTTCCTGTTGGGTGAGAATTGCTTTGAATACTTTTTGCAATACATCCTTCAACAAATCGTCAGCTACGTGCACTCCATCCCCACGAAGCGCTTCTCGGCCAATTTAGACTAACGGCCCTCCGAGTCCCGATTGCAGGGTCACCTACCTACCTAGTAGTACATCCAACTATACATCATGAACTATACATTATGATTGGTCTTTTGGAAAGTATAGGATGTCCATGCACGTGATCTGTCTTTATCGTCTCCGGACAAAGGCAGTAATTGTATGGAACAATGGGCATTCATCCCCTTTGTGACGAACATGCTACATTGACAAGAATCACAGCCTACAAGCCCTTTCATCATGCATCAAGAAAAGACACATACAGAATACTTAAGCAGTCAGATTACTCTGCTTGCTGGATCTGACGCTCGATCTTCTATCATACACAGCTGTCACATTCGATCCTCACCCCACAACTCAAAGACCTACCAGCAGAATCGAAGTACCTCCACCCATACAGCCTCGATCCACTGCCCTCAACAATGTCTTCGTCGGCTTCCTTCTCCCTCTTTCCCTATCTCCCCTTCGAGCTGCGCGACATGATCTGGAAATTCTCCCTAGGCCACATCCCTCGCTCTACCGGAGAGCTCATCGACCCAGGAAAGATCATCCTCCACCCCATCCAGCGACACCACTGGCAGGCTCGTGCTGTCGCAGAGCCGGGCCACGACCAGCACGGCGAGGAGGGCGCACTGACGACCCTCAAGGTGCGATACCCCATCCGCCACTTCCAGGTGAACCAGGAGGCTCGCGCCGCTGCAAGCGCCTATCTCACCAAGCAGGAACGACGAGGGGTCTGGCTGGAGGAGCACTCGCGTTGCGCCAACCCACGCCGCTGCGCCCTCTTCTTCGACTGGGAGCGGACGGCGCTCACCGCTCCGCAGGCCCTAGACGGACTGGTGGGCGATGCGCTGTTCCTGTCACTTGCGGAGTACCAGGGGTACTGCGAGTCGTCTCCGGTAGAGGGCCGCAACAGCAGCATCAGCGCCAATGGGCCCGAGCCGGAGCAGCAGCAGGTGGTGCGGTGGGGAACCAAGTGGCGGTGGAACCCTCCGGGTGGGGACATTTGGTGGTCCCAAAAGGAGCATTGTGCTAACAGATGGCCTCGAGAGTGTGATCGGCTGAGCATGGCGATGGAGGAGCCAAGGGTGGCTTTGGCGGTGCCGATGGAGCTGCTGCGGAGGGATTCGAACGCCTTGAAGAACATCCTGCGGTGGCAGGGTCTGGACACACGGTCCGGGCCGCGGTTCACTGACCTCGTCCTGATTGTGAATGAGCTGCCTGACAGTGGGGACCGGATACCCGGGGAAGAGTATTTGTGCGTGGAGGTCATCGGGGATATCTCACGGGACGGGTGGAGAGAGGCCGCGGGGGATATCGGGCTTAGTTGGAAGGATTTGATGCGCATTTCGAAGGCGGAAGCGTTGGCTTGGGACTATGGTTCTTTCTATAACATTCTGGCTGTGCGGGTTGTTCCCTTGGGGTCAAGTACTGTACGGTGATATTGATTCAATTGAAGTCGTTGTCTTCCCTTTCTCCTTCAACCTTTCCTGCTTTTATTTTTTTTTGTCTTTTCATTTCACAGGCAAGTGTCACAATTTCTGCAAAGTAGTACTTTGATTCCATGTAGGATAACACCACCTACTCCCTCCGCTCCAATCGGACCGTAAAATGCCTCAGCACCGGCTTCTCCTCCACAATCCGCAACCCGCGCGTGATCTCCGATCTGCGATGATACACCTCAATCAACGCCTGCGCCACATACTCCAGCTGCGCATCGCTATACACCCTCCTGGGCACCGCCAAGCGCACCCACTCCGTCTCCGCGAAGCGCTCCTCGCCCGTCTCCGGGTCCCGGCCCTGCAGCAACGTCCCGATCTCCACCCCGCGCACGCCACCCTCGACATACAGCCCCACCGCCAGCGTCTGCGCCACATACTCCTCGCGCGGCACCTGCGGTAGGAACCTGCCCGCATCAATGAGAATCGCATGCCCGCCCACCGGCAACTGGATCGGAATCCCCGCCTCGACCAGCCGCCGCCCGAACCGCTGGACCTGCCCGATGCGCGAGCGCAGATACTCTTCGGAGGTCACCTCCTCCAACCCCACCGCCAACGCGCCCAGATCCCTCCCCGCGAGACCCCCGTACGTCCGGAACCCCTCGAACAGGATCACATACTCCAGCGCCCGGTCGCACCACTCCCGGCGCCGGGTGGCCAGGAACCCGCCGATGTTGACCAGCCCGTCCTTCTTGGCGCTCATGAGCATCGCGTCCGCCAGCGCGAAGACCCGGCGGGTGATCTCCCGAATCGACATGTTTTGGTACGGGGGCTCGCGCTGCTGGATGAACCACGCGTTCTCGGCGAAGCGGGCCGCGTCGACGACGAGGGGCTTGCCGTAGCGGTCCGCGAGCTCTTTCACGGCGGTCAGGTTGGCCAGGCTGACGGGCTGCCCGCCGTTCGTGTTGCAGGTGATGGTCATCACGATGAAGGGGATGTCCGGGTGGCGGGATTCGAGGAGATCGCGCAGCTTGTTTAGATCTATGTTGCCCTTGAATGGGTTGTTGCTGTCCGTCACATCGTACGCGCCGTCGGGCAGACAGTCGACGGCGGTGGCCTTGCGGAACTCGATGTGCGCGCGCGTGGTGTCGAAGTGGGCGTTGGCCGGGACGACCTGGCCCTCGTGTACGAGGACTGAGAACAGTGCGTTCTCCGCGGCGCGGCCCTGGTGTACCGGGAGGATGTGCTCTAGGCCGAAGAGGTCTTGGACGGCGCGCTGGAGGCGGTGGAAGGAGGCCGAGCCGGCGTAGGACTCGTCGCCGGTCATGATTGCGCTCCACTGGCTGTTGCTCATTGCCCCTGTGCCGCTGTCGGTGAGGAGGTCGATGAATACCTGATCGCTGGTGAGGGCGAAGAGGTTGAACCCTGCTTGCTCGATCCATTGTTTGCGTTGCTCGGGGGTGGAGGAGCGGATCCATTCGATGGTCTTGGTGCGCCAGGCTTCTGGGGTCGCGGTGTTGGGCATGGTTTGGGTGTTGCCTTTGATTTCTTAATGGTGGGTTGGGTAAGAGAGGGGGTGGTTGTGCAGTCTCTTGAATGGAAGCTGTAGTTCAGAGATAGGTTTTCCCAGTGCCTTCGACTCAACTTATATATGCCTTCTCTGGGGATTATCATGTCGAATGATGTCTTCTGCAGTGAACTCTGCAAGAAGACCTTCTTGCATCAACGAAAGTGCACCTCTACAGGTTTAGAAGACTGTATGATGATTTGATTCAGGGCACGAGCCTTGAGATACGGCTGCACCTCTTGTCACCTGGACTGACTCCCCATAAGAAGCGGCTTGGCACACCTCATATCAACCGGAAATATGCAGTCTGATGATGCAACTCAGCAGGAAAATCCATTTCTAGCGCATGGTAGACTGTCGAAGCAAGATTAATTGGTGTTGAAAGCCTGATTCGGGTATCAGAGTTCTGCAGAAAACCTAAAACGGGAGATTTATGCACGAGCCCGCGGCCCGGGGTTCGTGAGCGGGAAATGCAGTGGTACGACCCGGCGGCCTTTGGTTGGTTCAAGGTCATCTATAGTCTAATGTACCAGCCCAGATGTGTTGCTTGAGATCTTGAACATGGAATGCTCTGTGAGTAATGGCTGGGTTGCTGTTGAGGAATCAGTGTGGCTTGGGTTAGAGCATTTCTTCAGAATCTACCCTTTGGTTGGTGGAATCGATTGTTCTACGTAGGTCATATCCCGCATTCCATCAGGAACAAATATGCTTTACCTAGGCACCAGTCGAATCCCCAAGCATACTACATTTATTTATAACCGGTGAAATACACATTTGCGCCAGGTGCTAGCTAAAGTGGGGCAATTATTTGCACGTATAATAAGACAGAATTTAACAGTACCCCGCCATTCCACAGTGACCTTCCCCCCCTCAGAAGTCTGCCAGGTCTGACGAAGAAAAAGTCCAAATAGCAGCTACACCAAAAGGTCCCGTAGTCCAAGTGTAAGCGGGATAAGGGAAGGGGCCGAGAAAGAAGTTCTCCGGAGCACGGAAGGGTTATCCAGGCCACCTGATGCCTCCCTCAATATGGTACGTCCCGGAAAAATACTCAGAGACTGGTTAAGCTTATCTGAGGGCTCCACAATCCGGGAGTGAGATCAGGCGGCCCTTCGGGTGACTATCAGAAGCTTCAGGTCCCAGAGCTCCCGAAATCGGCACGGGATTTGAACTGCGTGAGGGAAACATCACAAACCCCGGAAACCCCGGGTTGCCGATGATCCTTATCTTGTCAGTTTACCTGGGTATCAGGGCGGTACAGATAGCAAGATATCAGGAGAAACACAATGACAAGATCGGACAGCACCGTCAGGGAAGGGAGGAAGTATAAGTACAGATTCTATGCTGATGTATCGACAACACAACTTCCTCTACTCAACCTAATAACACCTCCTCAGAGATGAAAATGCGCGCCCTCCACCTCCTTGCCCTCAGCTTCCTCAGCACCTGTCATGCCACCGCCATCCACCAGGAAGACTACACCAACCTCACGGTAGCGGTAGTGCGCGCCCCACCCGCCAACTGGCCCCTGCCAGTGATGAACAAGAATTGGACGGACACCCCCTTCGACCTGAACGCCACCGTCGCCAAAGCAGTGGACTACATCGCCGAGGCCGCCTCCAACGGCGCCAACCTGATCGTCTTCCCCGAACTCTGGTTCCCAGGGTGAGCACCCTCTTGCCCTGATCCCCCTTCACCATTCACCACTAACCCCACAAAACACAACAGCTACCCCAAAGGCCTCGCCAGCAACACCAGCATCACCCCCGCCCAACTCACCTCCTACCTCACCAACTCCCTGACCATCCCTAGCCCGCAATGGACCCGCCTCCTCACCGCCGCCCAGACCCACGGCATCTACATCGCCCCCGCCTTCTCCCACCGCATCGCCAACCACATCTTCATGGCCCAGGCCCTGATCTCCCCGTCCGGGGAGACACTACTCCTACGACACAAACTCCGCCCCTCCGGCGGCGAGCGCACCCTCTGGTCGGACGGGACCCTCAACGGATTGCAGGTGATTGCGACGCCGTACGGTCGCTGGGGCCTGCTAGAGTGCTGGGAGCACTTCCACCCCTCGATGACGTTTAATGTCCAGGCGCAGAGGGAGACGTTGCATATCGCTTCGTGGCCTTGTTAGTTTCTCCCCTTTCCCTGTCCCTTCGCTAGATGAACCTCAGCGCTGGCTAGGTTGAGCTTATTTTACATGCTGGTGCTACGCAACCCCCAACTAACAAGTCCATGGACTTAGATATGCCCGACGCAAACACCCCGGGAGCAGAGTACTGGGAATCGAACGAGATCAATGTCGCTGCGGCGCGGACGTACGCGGTCAACGCCGGGGCGCCGCTGGCGATGGCGGCGGTGGGGAATGCCAGGCTTCTGAGCGCGGAGGGCTTGGATGAGGTGGTTGTTGGGGCGGGGGTGTCGTTTGAGGAGGTGCCGATGGTGTATGCTTCGTTCAACACGACGGGGCTGGCGGGGACGCTGCCGTATGATACTGAGGGGGAGCAGTCGTGGGGGACGTTGGGGCAGATCGTGCGGGGGTTTCCGGGGTATATTCCTAAGGTGGTTGGGGATTTCGTGGCGAGGAGGTTTGTGGATGTTGTGGGGTTGGTGCAGGAGCTGAGGTCGAATTGAGTCGGAGACAGGAGAGGGGCTCTTTTTGGTCTTTGTTGGTTGGTTGTAGGATACTGGGTTTGCTTTTAGGGCTCTTTTGGGTGGTTTCCGGTTGCTCCTGTTCACTTAGTTCTATTAGATGGGTGGAGGGGGAAGAAGGCGTGGACCACGAGATCAGGGCTACGATTTGCTGATGACTCTGACTGAGTACGTCCGTCGTGAGAGTCACTGAAGGGAAGCTGATGAACTATTCTAACATAATGACTCGTCATAAGGCTATCTTCCTCGGACGATCCAGTTTCGTATGACGCGCCACTGGTCTAGCACCCTTCATCTCCTGCAGGAATGAATTCCTCATAGTCAATCTCTTGTGCCTCTCCGAAATACCCCCATCGACTGATATACGCCTCCATCGCATGCAGTCCGCCATTGGTCGTCGCATAAACCCCGAGTAAGGCCCCTATACGGTAGACCACGTCAGTCAATAGCCACAAAGCAGAATCATAAGAACGATTAACCCACCAGTTCCCGCCCCATCCCCACTGATGACTGTAGTATTCACCACCCCCAGCACCAATCCCTCATTCGATTTCCCCTTCTGTGCCGCACTGAACGCAAAATGCGTAGTATTCACCGTGTGAATGGCAAGCCTCACCGAATCTCCCATATCCCAGCTGTCCGGAACCTTCACCACCACCGTCTCAGGTGCACAGCCCTCAAATCCCGTCTTCCCCGACACCGTCGTCCGCAAGCGCAGATACAACCCGGTTGCATTTCCCTTCGCTGCAGCTCCTGCTTCCACCCCATAAAACACCCCAAAGTCAACATGCTGCCCCTGATTCAAGAACGCGGTGACGCCGACCTCATCCTCCTGCTCGGACCCGGTAGCGAAACCCAGCATGACATCCACCTCGAACCGGAACAACGAATGCGTCTGCCTCCGCGCCACAAACGTCAATCCATCCGTAGCCTGAAACCCCTCGTCGCCCGTCAAGTTGGCCCGACTGGCCGTCAACCGCAACACATTCGGTCTCTCAGGCGGACTAACCACATAATCCCACGGCCGGACCGGCGCGCGCCAGAACACCCACTCCGCCGGCAAGGTACTTCCCGGCTTGAACTCCACCACCTCACGGGCATCACCCACAAACCCCAGGGCCTGCCCCAGCCCCCCACAACTCACCGACGGCAACGGCCCCTCCATGCGTCCGGCCACCCTCCCCCCAGCGACGGGCCACCCGCCCTCCTCCCACCGGACCGGAAACAGCACCGTCTCGCGGCCCATGGGATACACACTGGCATTGTACAAGCGCGGCCCGCCGCGCGTCGCCAACGCCACCCCCCACCAGTTCCTGTGCGCGTCCACAAACAAGTCCGCATGCCCGACCGTCTGGAAATACGCGTCCGTGTGCGCGTTACTCACGAGGGGGTTGCGGGGACTCGCCTCCCAGCTGCCGCTGCCACCCGCCAAGTCGCGGGACCGAGCGAGCGTGGCCGCGTGGTGGAGCTGCGTGCCCCCCTCCGCGATCAACAGGTAGTACCACCCGTCCTTCCAGTACAGATGGGGCCCCTCGGGACTGCTGGCCCCGGTGCCGTTCCACAAGGGAAACGGGGGGCTTGCGGCGCCGGTGGCGAGATCGACGATCGAGGCGCGGATGGGCGAGCCGGAGTAGGCCATGACCGTCGTGCCGTCGGCGTCGATGAAGAAATCCGGGTCGATGGCGCCCGTCGGGTTCGCGATGGGCAGGGGGTCCGACCAGGCGGTGCGGTTGTAGGGGTCGGTCGTGGTGAAGAGGAGGAACTGCGGGGTGCTGGGCGAGTCGAAGTCGAGCCAGCTGGTCAGGAGGTAGAAGGTGTCATTGTGCAGGCGTAGGGTCGAGGCGAAGAGGCCGAGGGTCTGTTGGTTGGTGTCGTCGCGCAGGGCGGGGAGCTGGCTGGCGCGGTGGACGGCGGCGCTGGCCTGCGTCCAGTGCTGGAGGTCCTGGCTGGCGTAGATCGGACAGCCTGGGAAGGTCAGGAAGGAGGAGGTCGTGCAGAAAAAGGTGTTGTTGTGGGAGGGGGAGAACAGGCAGCTTGGATCGGAGTGCCAGCCGGGCAGGATGGGGTTGGTGTATGGGTGGTGTTGGGTGTGCGGGGGTGCATTGGTGCTGAGCGCGGCGGTGAAGAGGAGGGAGGAGAGGAGAATCCAGGGCGGCATTTTGACGCTGGAGTCGATTGAGTTATCTGATGCTGAAGCAGGGTGGGATTCACTTGGTATGGCATGTACATGCTTTGTAGTTATGCTCAACGTCCAGTACCACTCGGATTTCCCGAATGTGGGGCCGAGACCCCCGCACTTCCCGCATTTTGGGGATGGATGGTCTTTGCAGCGTGAGTAAAACTACCCATTCTTACAGCTTCAACAGCCTGATTTCAACAGCATGCATATGAGACCAGGTTACGCTCGCGTACCTCAAGATGAAGCCGACTTCCGCGCCTTAAAGTAAGCCTAACCACCACAAACTCGGTCCACGCCGGGTAAACACCGGGCGAACCTCGCGCCCTAATCAGCCTATAAATGAGTTCGACGTCTGGGCGTGGTCATCATCCACCAGTATTGGGTATTTTGGCACGTCGAAGCGGCAGTTCGTGTAGATCACTGAGGGTTCATCTTTGGCTGAGTGCCAGGTAGAGCCCTAAAACGCATTACATACCGAGATTGTGGGGTGGAAGCCAGTGTAAAGCCTGCGCTTTGAATCCTTCTCCGTATCCATACAATGTCTGCTTGGCATTGGGGTTGCCACCGTCTAAGGGAGAATTCATGCAAGGATCAGGGCTCGGAAGGAGGGAAAACGGACTCAGCGGCATCGCGGTAGCTACCCCATCCCTCGCAGATCTCGCGGATCTTAAAGCGCTCGAGAGCCTCCTTGTCGAGATCAGTGCCCTTGGCGTTGTTGCGAAGGGCGCTCGTGGCGTAGGTGCCTTCTGTCGGAGGCGTGACGGGCTATCGGTCAAAAACCATAGGAAGGATCCGTGAATAAGCAGGTAGACATACTGAGTGCTGGAGAGTGTTGCTGTGAGGACTGACCTGTAGAAGCCGAGGGACGGCGCCTTAAATATACAACTCAGATCTTCAAAGTACGGCCCGTCGGGTCACTTGACGTTAGCATTCTTCTTCCGGCTTTCTACATGACCGTGGATCTCGCGAATGATTGGAGGCATAAAAGTCAACTAGATACTTGCCGAGGTCGGCAGCACCGGAAGCTCGAAAATTATGGACTGTTTCTTGGTTCTATCTCTCGATTATATCATTTTCACTTTTCGCGAGCATCCGGCTACGAATCAACTACAGTATGACCATGCCTTAGTAGCAGCATTGACGTAGCTCTTTACTGTCGCGGCTGTTAGACCCAACATTTTTTGTCGATTGTAGCTTCTTTGTGAAGTTGGGCTGTCCATGGACCAGCAGCTAGTGACCCCCTTGCGTACCTACGAAAGACCCACTTAGAACCATTGTAGGTACTCTGTGGACCCTCGCTCTGTACCGGGTTTTCGGCAGTTCTTGGGCCCTGAATGTGCCGCTTCCAGCCGTTTGACTCGAGACGCTCTCTACTTTGCCTATGACTTGACCCGATAGACTGAAAGAGCCCAGATCAGCTGGTCAGTTGTGAGAATCATCTAGTCAGCGGTCAGAAACGTTGACCAGTGCAATGGTACTTGACCCGGGGAACCGGCACACATCTTGTGTACAGTACATACAGGGTAAACAGGCTCAATGATCGGTTGATTATCTAATGTTGACAGTCACCGTCTACCAAGTACGGAGTACTCATACTTGTTCCGTCACATGCGTCGTGTAGACCAAACCAAGATTCTACGGGCCTACAACCTCTGATGGCATAATACCTTTCCATCCTGTCTGGACTTCGGTATGATGCCAGACATTACAAAGCTATAACAAACGAAGCTGGTGGCTGTATGTACAACAGAGCCTCGGTTCCAAGTCGATGACTCCTGCTCTCCGAGCCAGCGAACCACGGAAATAAGTCGGCACAAGGCCTCATACACCCTCAGAGACTCTATTATCCCACTAGACACTCTATTCGACCACAGAAATGTAGATAATGGAGAGAGGTCTCACTCTGCTTGCAATTACAAGTATAGTCCTGCGGGACGGGAAGTGCCGTGCCTACAGATGTAGAAAGAAGCCTGGGCTAACCCGAGCCGTGTTTGCTGATCCGTGGTCACAACCTAAGCAACCCTGATCTCATTGTCAAATCCTTGTCTCTTTACCACGATCGAAACTGGCCCCAGGTCGTCTGGTTTGACATGATTGGGATCCGGCAGAAAACATTCACCTGTCAATCGATTCGATTGGTGTCGGGTCAAATCCAATCCAACGATCAGACTCCACTAATGGTATCATTTGCCGCCACCGTCTTGATATTATGTGATCCCTTACGTGCATCTAGACAGCAGCATTTTCTGTTCTACTGAGAAATGTCGCTTTGGGCAACTTCCAGTTGTCTTTTAGCTTCTGGACCGGCGCTTTGTCAAATTGCACCGGAGAATAATTGTACTGGAGGACGGTGCTTGATAGAGGACCTCAGAATTGGAGTTCCAGGCACTTGGTGATCGTGACCGAGAGATAAAGTGAAGAGGTCGGGCGGTACTGGGGTAATATAAAGGTAATACATGGCTCCTTTTCCTTAGCGAGGGCTACATTGGAAATCGATGGAGGGAGACATATACTCTTCCAGATGGCGAGAACTACTTTGGATATTTTTTGTTTTGCATTTACGATTACCTGCATGTTATCTTTTGTTTCGCGCGGAGGGGGCAAGAATCGGAGTGCTAATTCCTCCTACACCGAATCATCTCGACAGCTAGCCTTCTCTTACCCCAGAGTAAGGATTGATCGAAGATAGTCAAATGAACAAACATTGATCTCATACAAACTAACGTGTAATATTATATTGTTCTAATCTATCATTACATCCGCACACATGATCGTAAACGTTTCTAGGTCTTTACAAACGGACAAAGCGCTTGCCCATGCTGCGCTTCTTGAGGATGGCGCCGGCCTCCTCGAGGGCCTGGGCACGGCCTGGACCGTAGTCGGGGGTAGCACCGAGGGTGCCGAAGATGTCGCCGAGGTAGTTGCGGGGCTTGATGCCGGCGGCGAAGGTGCTGTTCCAGTTCGCCAGGATACCCTCAACGATCTTGATACCGGCGTTGTACAGGTTCTCGACGGCGGGCTCGAAGGCACCCTGGGTGGAGTAGAGCAGGTTGTAGCGGGCGGTCTCGCCGGGGTAGGGGCGGTCGAAGTCCGAGGCGGTGCGCATGACGATGATGCGGGAGAAGTCGGTGAGGTTGTGCTTCGAGGCACGGACGAGGGCCTCCAGGGTGGCGTTGTCCTCCTGGGCGGTGGTGCAGTACTCACCGGTGCCGTTGGTCCAGATCTTGGTGGTGTTGTCGAAGGCCTCGCCCAGCAGGCGGCCGCTGAAGTAGACGTCGCTGGTGGTCACGTCGCACAGGCGGACGGAGGGGCCCTGGGTGCCGGCCTGGTAGAGGCCGTCCTCGGTGGCGTACTTGGCGCGGTAGGCCTTGGCATCGTCGCTGTCGGCCAGGGTGGCGTTGCGGGCGAAGCCGGCAGCGATCTTGCGCAGCTCGTCGTTGACCTCGAACACCTCCGTGCCGTAGATGCTGGTGGGGTACTGGTCGGCGTAGTAGCCGCCCTGGGGGAAGTAACCCGTGGTGGCGTTGGCAGGCATCTCGCGCATGTCAATCTCGTACTGCAGAGCCACCTGGATGGCAAAGCGGGCGAAGGTCACATCGCAGATGCTCGCGCGCTCGGGGTTGACGCCGGCAATACCGGCGACGAGGAAGTAGGTCTTGGTCAGATCGAACATGGGGTTGAAGACGACCGACGCGACGGTGATGGCAGCGTTGATCTCGGATTCACCAGTGATGAGCTGGCAGATGGTGTAGTCCGCCGTGCAGTGGACATCGGGGAAGGCGGGAGAAGCGCCAGGGATGGTGATGTTGTGAGCCAACAGATCGAACTCGGGGATACCCCACCAGATCTCGGCCTCGGGCGCGAACTGCAGGCTTTGTGAGCTTGGGGTCATGCTGGGCTAGAGATTGCTGGGCTTACCATCGAAACGATGAACACCTTAGGGGTGATCTTGGCCGGCGTGTGGCTCACGGCAACATCGCGGGGCTGCTGCACAGGAACAGAGCGAGCCGTAGCCAGGGAAGACAGGCAGCTGCCGGCGAGCAGGAGGCCCGTGGTGACGGATTGGAGGAGCTGCATCTTGTGCGCGTTTGGAAATGTGAGAGAGCACACTTTCTTTCCAGTGAAAGGTCGCGCGACAGCTCTTATATAGAGTCACAATTGGGAGAATTTTTCTGGGCTTTGCGCGGAAAGCAATCGGGAAGCAGTCGGCAAGCACCGATCCATGAGCAAGTCCACCTGCAGGAAAAATTGGGATCCATTGTCCATAGATTGGCTGATTAGGAAGGATCAGCGCTGATAAGTTAGGAGTAGCGATCGGCAGTCGAAGCAGCTTATCCCGCAGGCCAATGATCGTCGTTGTATTGATGCCGAACCAGCCTTCTGGCTGAAGAATCCCCACTTCTAACGTGATTCAGCCAAGCCCGGCCACGGTTTGTTTTCCGTGGTTCCACTATTGCAATGCTGCAGAAAATGGCTGGGTGATCTCCAGCAAGAACGAACTCCCAGCGTGAACGGGCGTGTGTACACCTGAGAGTCATTCAATGATGCTGCACAAGATGACATGTACAATCGATGAGCTCACAGCTAGCGCAGGAACCGATCGGAGACATCCGAATGATAGCACGGCTGCCAGTGATAAGATGAGAGCACAAGACTGAGGAGGATTGAATCGGCGATAAGGACACCCGTCTTGTGCGGTGGAGCTTCATTTATCTGGTTCTTATCGCGCCCTCGCCCTCCATTCAGAAGGAGGGTCAGTTATCGGCGGCCCACCGGACTCCTGTTGACTCTCCATCCTCCCAGGCAGGGCAAGAGACCCAGCACGACGAAGAGGCGACTATCACCGTTTGTCTTCGTCGGAGGTGGCCGCTCCCTGCATGACAGCCAGCGATGAAGTCAAAAAGATAGCTAAAAGGCGGGGAAGTGGATAAATCAACCGGAGTAGATGGGGAAAAGAGTTGAGGGGAAGCTTCGAAGAATTCTTTCTCGAAAGCTTCTTGTCGCCAGGGCACGTGACTGTCATCCGAGAAAAGCTGGAACCACGATAAGCAAAAAAAAATTTGAGGCTTTTTTCAGCGATGGGGACACCACCTCCCAGCTTCCCAAGGCATCCGAGACTGACGAGTGCCAATGAGCCGGAAAAATCCAGACCTAGTCGCCAATGGCTGAAAATCGCTCAACCCAGTGCTACTGGAAGGTCCGTGACCAGGTGTTGGGGTTGGCAGTGGGCACTAGGCAGACCACTTTTCGAAGTTGATAATGCCGGGTGGCTTTTTTTTGATTGAGGGCATTGCAAGCCTTCTGCCAATGCTACCTTGGTGTGCTTTATCTACTACAGCATACCAGGCTGCATGCTCCGTCTGCAATGACTCCCTGTCTCAATGCAATCCCACCACCTTCAGAATTTCAGTGAAGCAAAATTGCTGCTCAACGGCCATTGTCCTCCGAGGTGTGGACGAAGGTATGGCGAAGATTCGTGTACTGCTTGTCTCATCGGTTGTGGTGTGTTGTGATCCCGCACCCTCATGGCGAGAGATAAGCCGTCCCTAGAAATCCGAGGGATGAGACTAGCTCGGCCACCGCGCCCAAGCTAGAGGCCCACATCTCGACTAAACGCCTTCCAGATTATGCTAATTCGTTCCATTGGTGGAGACCTGGCTGAAGACTGTCCCTTGGGTAACCGCCGTCACGAAAGTCTTATTGAGGCTGTCACGGTGTCCGACCCAGCGTCTGCGAGCTGCTTTGGTATACCGGTTCAATGCGGATACTCCTCGGCTTGTCTGAAGATTGAAAGTGGATTGTAATTGAGACTGTGGCCGGGGTGACTCAGAGCCTAGGAAGATTTTGTTGGCTTGTGATTGAGTGCACAGTAGTTGGAAGGTATGCTTTTTTCCCCTGGTTGCTTTCCTGAGGTGTTGGCAACTGGCAGGGCAGGTCTCTGTGTAGCCTTGTAGAAGTAATCTCGATAGTGATTGGGGGGAATAAAAAAGATCTGTGAATGAAGCAGTCTGGTCTGTCACGGGTTTATGCACGATGTAGTTAGCTGTGGAAGATGAAGCTGAAAGGCTGAGATAGCGGCGTGTTGTTGTGCCTCAGGCACCAATAACACATCTTTCTGTGTGGGACGGGAATGGGCACATGACCTGGATAAATGCATTGTTTGCACCCATGCATGCAAACATGACAACCATTGCATACGGTGCAACCAACACCACCATGGCGCAACGCCAAGAATCCCAGCCTCTCCCCTCAATTTGACACCTGCCAAACCACAGTCCAGAACAACAACTACTTGAGTACATTCAGCTACCAGCGTTCCAAATCTAAACCATAATCTTCTATCGCACTGCATACTTCATCTCCTTCCCATTGCAAAGTCACCCCGTGCAGTCATGTTCTCGCTCAGTCTTCCCCACTGCGTCACCACCCCTCTATCCTCTATCCTCACCTGCGTCATCCGGTAACGCAGATCTCGCTAAATTACGGTCCACCGAAGAGGCAGACGGTCATCGCATGACATGACACGGCTGAGTCTTCATCTGCCATCACGGGGACCGGGAGGGGAGGGGGGGAATTACATATACTCAGAACACGAAAAGAGAGTGTCGCGACGTCATCCACGTGGGGTACAACGCCCATGACGTCACCGCTAGGCTGTCCCCCCCTTCGACCCTCATCTTTCCATCTTGTTCCTGGCATCTCAACCTTCTGGTTCTGTTTTCCTTTTATACTGCGGACAACGTTACATCTGCCCTCTATACCCGTCATCTAAACAAACCTACGCGCGCGTTGCGGTGAGATATCGAGAGCCCACCTCAGTACGTCGCATCCCTTCTCAAAGTACAGTGAGAAACGACAGACTAACCAAACAATCAGATCTCTTCCCCAATCCTCTCTCCTAAACTACATCCACAACCAAAAAACCACGCTCAAACTCACCCTCAAAACCAACACCGCCCTCCTCCTCCTCCTCCTCCTCCTCCTCCTCCACCACCGCCAACCCGAACACAAACCCGCCCACAATGGCCCCAATCCACGAACGCATCCGCGACGACCTCCTGGCCATGGAACGCCGCCTCTGGACGGCGCTGACGTCGGCGGACCCCGGCCCCGAGATCAAGAAGATGTCCAACGACGACGCCAACTTCCTCTTCCCGAAGCGCGACATCCTCACGCTGCAGAGCAAGGACCCGTCCCTGTCGGAGGCGCTGAAGCCGCCCTTCCACCACTTCGAGGAGTACGAGCTCAAGGACGTGCGCGTCCTCATCATCGACCTGATGGCGGGCACGGTCACTTACAAGATCAACGCGCGGCTGCGCGGCAAGATCCACTTCAACGGCACGGGGTCGACGACGTGGAGCCAGGGGTCCGACGGCGAGTGGCGGATCGTGGTGCATCAGGAGACGTCGTTGGAGTAGATTCCCCCCGTCCTGTGCAACTACTGGGAAAGAGGAAGAGAACCGTGATGCTTTCGCCGATTCAGGCATGAGGTTGCATACTTATTGTTTTGATTTCGCTTCATGATTGATACTCTTTACTGTTTTTCCCGACCTACGATATTTTTTTTTCTTTGACCTGAGTTGGGGTGTTTCTTGAGGAAGCCAGCGTCGTTGGGCGGATTACCTCTTTTTCTTTTTCTTTTCTTTTCTTTTCATCGACCACTCCATCATCCACAATCTCCAGCCTCATTCATGTTCCATACTTCCACTTCCGATGTTATTATGTGTATGTGTCACGTGTGATGAACGTCTCATTCGATAATTTCTTCTTCTCCTTCCACGCCTTCGCGTAAAGAAAAAAGAAACACCAAATCATCCTTCCAGGATTTCACGTATAAACACCGCATCCGGCTAGTCGATCCTCGGTCAAGTCACCGCGAATCAAGAAAAAAGCAAACATCCACCCAAAAAACAAATCTCAGTATTGTACTCCGCCTCCACCCGAGGAGTCTCGAAACCGGTAAGATCACCCAATAGTCCACCAGATAATCAGCCCCCCTCAGCTGCGGTCTGTCCAATGATCGACACGGGATACATGCGCATGGTAGTACGTAAAAGGTAGTCCCACTGTTTCCTTACAAGGCTGCATCACAACCACCCCCTAGAATGGGGCTGTAAGGGAAGGTAACCGCCTCGTTGGGCGGGGAAGCGCTCCATCCGCATTATTCGCATAGTGATGATCTCAAGATGATCGCTGCCGTAGTCTAGGTTCGATGCCTTTTTTTCCACTGAAACAAAAGGCTAAGAGTGTGGGATAGAGGGGGGATCGCGAGACATGGATCGAGGAAGAAGAAAAGAAAGAGAAGACAAGATAGAAAAGGGAAAGAAAGAAAAACGTTTAGGATACGAAATTAGATACCATCTCAGTCCAGATCATTGTTCTTTTCATTTAATGTATTCATTTTGCTTCAGACGACAATATATATCCCATATGATGGGGGGTGTATCTGTGCGTGATGCCCCAGAACCTTCTAGGTACAAATTCCCACATGCACATCCGTCAAGGATAGAAAAGAAATATATGTAAGAAGAGAAAAAGAAAAGAAAATGATCTCCAAAAGGGGAGATGAACGGGGTAGGGGGAAACAAAATAACACCGGAAAAGCAATATGCCAGAGACACACAAAAGAAAAAGGAGAACTAAAGTCTAGACACCATTGGAGAACCCATCACCACCAGCCTCAGTGTCAATCCGCATCGCGTCCATCAGTCCACAAACCTCGAACAACTTCTTGGGGCCCATCCCCTCGGGCAGTCCCACGACGCCGTCCTTCTTCAACCGCTCTAGCGCTGCCTTGATGCCCATGTAGGCCGGGGTGATGCAGCAGAAGGAAAAGATCATGATGCGGAAGCCCATCTCCTTGGCCTCCTCGGTGGAGATGACGGGTCCGGCGCCGTTCTCGACCATGTTCAGCAGCAGGGGCCAGGGGGCCAGGTCCTTGACCGCCTGGCGGGCCATCTCCTTGGAGGTGAACCCCTCGAGCAGGCCGACGTCGCAGCCCAGGTCGCGCGCGGCTTTCAGGCGCTTGATGCACTCGTCGTAGCCGTGCTGCTGCAGGGCGTCCGTGCGGGCGATGAGCACGATGTCCGAGCGCAGCCGGTCCTTGGTGATCTTCGCCGCCCGCAGGCGCGTCAGCCACTCCTCCTGGGAGACGACGCGCTTGCCAGCCAAATGGCCGCAGCGCTTGTTGGCGATTTGGTCCTCGATATGAAAGCCGGCGACGCCGGCTTGGATGTACTGCTGCACGGATTTGGCGACGAACAGGGGGCCTGACAAGATTTGTGTTAGTTCTGCGGTTTTGTGGAGATTTTACTGGTGGTAGTAGAAGAGGTTGTCCTACCTCCGTATCCGGTATCCATATCAGCAATGAGTGGGGGCCCGTAGGGATCCAGATTGGCTATCATCTCGGCGTTGGTTCGCATCTCGTACAGATGGGCTAGGCCCAGATCTGCCTGTCCGAGCCGGGAGGCAGTAGTGCCGGCTCCGGTCTAAAGCGGGTCGTCAGCGCGTCCACCGGGATAATTATGGGACCGGACTGGGGAATTTGTAGCACGAGTCCGGGGGGAGGAGGGGGGGAAGCCAAGTTACCATGTACATGGCCTTGAAGCCAAGATTCATTGCAATTCGGGCGGACAATCCATCGTATACACCGGGGCAAATGATCAATTCGTTGCTTTCTTTTAATTGCCTTCGCAGCTTGGACGCGCCCGTCACCAGCTGGAGGTTGACAATAGGCTCCTGCCGCGAGCCGTTGATATCGTAGTAGCCGTCCTGCTCGACGGTGATGGTGATTGTGTTCGTCATGCTGATGGTGGAGGCGGAGTCAGGGGTATCAGCTACTTTCATTGTTATTAGAGAGAGTAAAGATGTGATGAGGAAGAGAAGGAGTTGAGCTGATGATGATTGACAGCAATGGACGGGTCCGTCTGGGAGCTTTATATCTATTCATCTGCCTCTGGTCTCGGGGCAATGTCTGTCCGCGAGGCAATAATCGCTTGCCATGAGGACAGTGTCATATCGCTGTCTAGAACCGGCATCAGTTTCCTGCAACCCCCTCTCGGATCATACTTGTTGTAACTCAAGGCCTTGGCCGACGATTATCGTCGTCAACTCCGACCAGATATTGATACTAGGCATTCTTGGCCGCTACTGCAGCTGGACACCCCCATCCAGTTCGTCAATGATCGTGATTTGTTCTTGTGATGAGCCTAGCACGCCTAACTGTGATCCGACAAGAAAGCAGATAAGCTCTGAGTTCTTCGTTGAGGTTCTCTCAATGACTGGCTGGCTGAACTGGAAGAAAATAATACGGGTAGAAGGCTGATAGGGTATTAGGACCGGATACGCGCCTCAAGGGCTCCGATAATACCTTCTTAGGTTCGATCTGAATCCTGCGCCGGGGAAGTTTGGTCGTGCCGGGGGTGGTACAGGAGGATGGCCACCGAGGGGGTGGAGACAGAGCACCAGTTCCCAACCGGACTAGGATGCATGTCAGACATTTGATCACGCACAGAGCTCCCGTCTTCAGAGAATTGTCTCGCTGCCCCCTCTCCTCCGGCTTTTCTGGGTCGCTAGTCCGTGGTGTTGCTTGGTGACTAGCCACGCTGATCTGCACGAATAGAGTCGTAAGCGGCTCGGCTGATGCACCGGAAGTTAAACGGCATCCCACTACGGAGCTTGGGAGCAGTCTTGCCGTGAAGGACGTGGACCCATGGTTGGCGGAGAATCCGGGCAGCAGTAGTGTCGGAGGTAATCAGTCAGGATGGAGGGGGGTGAAGGATGGTGGATGCGTGCTGATAGCTACACAGAAATCCGACGGCAAAGCCGAAATCTCACTGGATAGCTGCACTGGGTACTATCATCGCCGAGATTAGACTGCATTCACGCGCAGGGGCCAAGTAGCTTGGCACGTTGGTCGTGTCAGTCTCGACCTTGACGCCATGCGCTCGCTGATCACTTCTCCTCTGGTGCTTTAGCTGGTGGTATACACTCCGCGTGTTGTCCGTCTGTGACCAATTTGTGTAACCGACTGGATCGTAGAACCTCGCAAGGGGTTCGACCCGGAGACTTGGTCTTGCGCAGGAACCAAGTGCCCGATGCGGCGTCGAAGAACGGCCTGTTTCGGTTGGGGGGGTGGCTAGTCCACTGCTTGGATGGCATAATTGCGAACGTATCGCCCTGAAAGGCCGATCATACAGAGACTATCGACGAGAATCCATAGGGCTATACGAGACGCGAAAGAGGAGCAGGAGGCAGAGCATTGGCAGGAGTCGAGTGAGTACTGAGGTAGGTAGTAGGCGTAGGCTCGGACCACGATGGACGTCGCGCGCAAATCACCCGATTGGCCGTTTAGCGTAGATTGGCCGAAGCCAGCTGTTCCGCTCAACTCCGTATTTGTCCGGCTTGGCCGCCCTGAAGCTGTCGCGACCTAAACCTCCGCGGCAGGACCCGTTGCCTATCTTCTGCTTCAGGCCAGTCATGCTCAGCACAGCTCACCTCACCTTACTCAGGTTTTAATCCCCACACATGGTAGGAGAAAAGTGGGAGAGACACTGCTCAGCCTTGGGGCAACTTGAAAACTTCTCCACGAACTTGGCCGACAGCATCGTCTGGGGAGGGCGACGGGTCCGCAGTGGGTCTTAGCATTCTGCAGTTGCAGTGTTGATTGCACCTTGGCCCGATACTAGCATGCGCACACGCCAACATGACCCATTAGGCATCTTCGGAGCGATGAAGCGAGAGGGGTTTCGGAAAAGCACAAATCCGTCGATTACTGCTCACAGCTGGTCCGGACTTCAATTGCCCATGCGTGTTTGACACGGCGTGCGGCGTCTCGATCATTCTCCGCGACAAGCAGTGCTTACCAGCGCGGGGCGCCTAATCATCCATTTTCTGGGCTACAATGTGGTGGGCGGAAAAGGCCAAATCGTGTTGCGCGTGATCGACAATTTCATTCACGACCGCCAAGCGGACCCTGAGCATTCTTGGTGGCGATGAAGGTGCCCCCTCGCTTGTCACAGTTGCATCCCCTTTGAGAGACCGGATTTTGACTCGATTGGTTCGAATCCGACCGCACAGGGTCGAGGAATCGCGGTGAGATGTGCTAGCCGTCAGTATCGTAGGCAGCAAGTCAGGTCCGTGACCACTTAGTCAACCAGCTGTCATGCTCCGTCTTGGGGCTAAAGCAGGTAAGTTCGCAGCACAATCTCTCTGACATTCTCTCTCTAGAGTGAGTCTTGCATCGGTTCTGACCGTCATTGTGCTCCTACAGCCACCCAGGGGTTGTGATCCGCATATCCGTATGGCACCCACGAGTGTCGGAAGTATTTCTCCAGCACCACCTGCTGGTAGGTCATGTCGTCGACACAATACCCACCCCCGCCGGGCCCAATGTGGGGACAATGTACGGGCGGATTGA